GTGGTAGTGGTAGTGGTAGTATATAGTAGTGGTAGTAGGAGTAGGGGAGTAGTGGAGTAGTAGTAGTCGTCGTCGCCCGTAATGTGAAATGCTGCACAGCCGCATTGACTGATCATCGCTGGGGCAACCTGACAGTAAGACCGTGTGCGACAATAAAGGAGGATGGAGATCTTAATGCTGCTCACAGGAGAACGTTCTGCAAGTGCGCGTCCTTCTTGGGGCATGGTGCCAGGAGAAAACCGTAAACCTTAAACCAGCAGGTATCAGAGTACGCTCCTCAGCTCAAATCTCGAACACCAAGTCACCACCGCACTTTGATGACAGGCAAGTACTGCCGCGAGTCCACCCACCACAAAAAGGACGTGTTCAAGCGACTAGTGGAATCAGACAAGGACCAGGGGTGATTTGAGGTTTAGGACCACTTGTTTTGCGACTTTTGATAACCTTCATAAACCCATATATGCAGCAGCCCACATAGAACCCTTGTGTGTTGTACCATGAGCTTGAAATACACTAAAGCCCTAAGAAGTGCCACCTGGTGCTTTAGGCGTGGGGTTTCCCAAGCTTGAGACCGTGGGCTTAGAGGCTCTGCTTGAATGCTGGTCATGTCTTCTCAAGCACGTCATGGCTACTTCTCCAAAATAGGATCCCGTTTAGTGTCCTTCTTAAAAGGGTGCCGTACTGTATCTGGGACCTAAAAAGCAACCCTAACTTCAAGAACCACACTCATGACGAGGACAAAGAGAAAGACACAGCGCCGACGGCATCGATGTTTTTGTATTTCTGGGACTTTGAAGAGGAAGGTGGAGAAGAAGAAGACGGAGGACTCCGGCGCCCTTAAGGGGGTATTTTAGGGTTCCTTTAAGGGTTCCTATGAGGGGCATTACCGGATTCCTATTGGGCTTACTGGGGGTGTCATAGGGTTCCTTTCAGGGGGTTCTACAGCCCACTCAGGGTATTCATTATTAGGGTTCCTTCACAAGGGGTTCCTGTCAGGGGTTTTGTAGGGTTCCGTTTGAGGGGTTTAGTTTAGGGCTATCTACCCTTAATGTGATGCCCATCTTGTCACTGGACTGCAGCTTTTGATTTGTGCTAGCCTGATATATGGTTAGGACAGGGCCACCCCAACTAAGTATGTATTACAAACCAGGCTTTACATTCTCACGTCGTATTCCTGGTCTGCAACTCAAGCATACCGTAAACCACCTCGACAATGTAAGAGTTGGCAAGGATGGTGGTTTGGCACTCAAGTTGGCGGCGAGCAGGCTCCACAGACGGGGGGGTCGAGGGGCTCGTGGCTTTCGGGATTTACTGGCCTTATTGGGGTTGGGGTTCAAGTACACAGCACCGAAGGGGTTTGGGGTCGGGATTTCGGGCCTTAGAGGCTGTAGAGCCCCAGGATCTTGATCCAGCATGCTTGCCCATCTTTCTGTCTCCAGGGCTGCCCTGGCATATTTGCAACACCTTCGGCAAACCTTCCCTGACCCCTATTGTAAACCCTAACCCAAACCCTTAAACCCTAACCGAAAGGGTCAACCTTATTAGTTTGGGCCGGGGAACACACAACGAAGCCTTCTGCAGGTGTTGCTGCAGAATCGGTCCACAGCCGACTTCCCGCCCCCGGACCATTGGATTGTTGTGGCCACTGGAAACGAGGACGCGGACCTAAAGGTGACCAAAGCTGCTTGCCCAAACAAAGTGCTCCGTCAAGGTCTAGAAAGCAGAACTTATTCAACCTTTGTACCTCAAGCATTTGCCTTAAAGACGTGGAAAGACCAAAACTGGGATCCTATGTCCGTACACCAGTTAGGCTTGAGCTTTTCAAAAAAGACTATGGGTTTGTCAAGGGTATCTTTGTTACAGCGGTGGTAAGAAGTCAGTGGGCAAGGTATTGGTCTTTCTTGATCCGACCAAATTCAATACTTGCACCTCAAACTTGCAACGTGGGGATTTCTTCGCCTCCATTCATCAGCCTAAAGTTCGGCTTGAAACGGAACCTCTGCCGCGCAACCCGAAATCCGAGCAAATCCTAAATCCAGACTTTTTTTCACAAGGCCCGAAACACTGAACCACATGAGGGCTTGGATGCAGCCGCTGAAGTTTGCAAATCCTGGTCAGGCTTTGGTATAGGCTCCAGAGTCTGACACTGTAGGTATTTCGCCTGCCTCCCCAGTAGAATCCTTCCTGTTTCATTCTGGCGCCCCTTTTTAAGCTGAAGAGTGGGAAACACTAACTGCTTTGCTTAAGGGGTCTACTTGGGAGCTCGGTTATAGGGGCCGAAGTAACTTCTGAATATAGCATGGTATACCCCAAAGCGCTATTCTAATGATTAAGGCCCCGAATATAGAACCCTATCATCGATTCCTTATCGCACTCTTTAAGAATCCCTTTTAAGGAACCCCATTCTATCTCTCAAGGCCCCTATATTACCCAACATTGAGCTCCTGAAGGCTAAGCCCCCGCCAAAGCCGCCTGGAGCAGCACCTACCAAGGCTGAGTGGGGTTTAGGATTTAGGGTTTAGGATTTAGGGTGTAGGGTGTAGGATTTTGGGTTTTCAGGGTAGTTTAGGGTTTAGGGGTTTAGGATTGAGGGTTGAGGGTTTAGGGGTTTTGGGGTCAAACCTTAAACCTGAACCCCTTAAACCCGGAAACCCTAAACCCGGTGAAGGTTTTGGGTCTTCTTGACAGGCCTTCCAGCTTCGCTTCAGTCTTCGCTTCGGTTTTGAGGGGGTTTGGGCCTTTTGGGTTTAGGGTTCATCGCGCCCACTGGGTTGTGCGACTTTGATGCCTTGGGACCATGATAGGGTTTAGGCTCAGGGTTGGCCCTTTGGGTCCAGGGTTTCGATTCTCTGCCATTTCTGCTTTACATTTAACGGCCCAAGAACTGTTTGTCAACTCATTTAATCCCCAAGAAGACGGCTAACCTGCAGATGCTGCGATCAGAAACTACCTATAGTCTCCATTGTGGTTACTTGTTTGGGTTAACCAAATTTATTATTTATTATTCTAGGATCCCAACCATTAAAGCTGGTTAACCACAAAGGCCCTAAACCCTAAACCTCGAACCCCCAAAAACCTAAACCCTGAGCTCGGACACTTATCGCCATGCCTGCTTTTGCGAGTGTGTGAGTCGAAACCCTAAACTCTAGTCCTTAAACCCTAAACCCTAATCCCTATGTAAACCCTAAACCCTAGTCCCTGGACTCGGAACTTTTCTGGACCTGTCGGGCTCCCGCGGGCTCCCGCTCGATAGGAGGGTTGATCTTGGGACGGTTTGAGTTTGTTTAGGGGTTGGGGTTTTAGGGTTTAGGGTTTTAGGGTTTGGGGCTCAGGGTTTTAGGGCTTAGGATTTTAGGGCTTAGGGTTTTAGGTTTTAGGGTATTAGGGTTTGGGGCTCAGGGTTTTAGGGTTGGGGGCTTAGGGTTTTAGGGTTTGGGCCTTTCCCGCGAGCGGCTCGACCAGATCCTCGATCCCATTAGCTACAATTATTCATCGTCGCCACCTCACTCATCGCATTCACGAAGTAGAGGCCCACAGAAAGCAAAGTAAGAGCATGTTCCGCCAGGCCAAATTCTGGGCACGTACATCTATTTGCCATACCCTCCGTCGTACTATTTCCGAAGGCAGCAGCTGCAAGGGCACTGGCAGGGGCACCTTGGATGAAATCCTGCTCAAACTCCACACTCTACACTCATGAACACGACACCCGAAACTCCAGATCCTGACTGTATGTTCAGATACAACTTCACGGCTGAGGGTCGGGTGCCTGCACCCCGAGAGTCTTGGGTGTGATTTTTCTTCGAGAAGGAGGCATAGTGGACCAGTCGGTGTGAAGCCTGTCCTCCCTTGTTGGAGTTGCGAAAGTCACCCTAAATCCTAAACCCTAAACGCTATAAGCCCTA